CGGGGGGGGGGGGGGTCCCACTCACTGCAGCTGGTGCCGCGCGCCGCCGCCAGGCTGCAGAGCGCCCAGCGCGCCGCCATGGCCGAGCCGGTACTTCCGGGCGGTGCAGCGCCTCCGCAACCCCGGAAACGCGAGCGGCGCACAAGTTCCGGCCTCGCCAGCTGGGGACTGCCACGTCACAGCCCGCGCGCTGCGGGCCCCGCCCTGACGTGACGTGGGGGCAGGCTCCAGCGGCGTTTCGCAGTCTACGTTATCCCCTCCCCTGGGGTCTTGACCAGAGCTTACGTCACAGGCTTGGCGTGCCACTGAGCCTTGCCTCTTTGTCCGCGGGGGCCGAGCCTGGGACTTGAGGTGCTGCGGCCAATTGGTAGTATTGCCAACTCATGATTTTTCGGGTTGTTCTTAAAGTCTGTGTTTCGGGATTATGAAAACCTTGGTTCTTTCTTTTACACCATTCTAGCTTCTTTCTTTTACATATGTGTGTGTGTATACGAACACACACACACAAATATAAATACGTATAAAAGTAAGCTACGTTTTTCACATTCCCAGAGCGTAGAACAACGCTAAAAATCATGACAGTTGGCAACACTGACACTGGGCATGAGAGTAGCATGCTCCATGGGGCAGTTGTCCGATGCCACTCTGGTGGGGCACAGCTGCAGCTGCCCCAGGGCCACAGCTTTGGTGGTGTGTGCTGGGGGCAGCATTAGGACTCCCCCACTGTCCAGTTTTTGGACCCATGGGGAGTCGGGTGGACCCTACGATGTGGTCCTGCCTTGTACTACATGGGCACTCTAGGCCAGGGCACGCAGGGTTGCTCCACGGCCAGATTACACCTGCATGCCTAGTCTGTGCTGGATTTGGCCTGCTAATTAACCCCATGCACAGGTTCTGGCTTGCCGGCCAGAGAGGTTGAGCAGAGGGGCCCGCGGGGCTGGAGAGATGAGGCCTTATCCAGTGAGGTGTAAAATCTGATCCAAGCCACTTCCAGCCCTAAGACACCAAGCCCCGAAATGCAGGCATTTTGCCTGACCTTGCCCCTTCTCCCTCTAATCCAGTTTTTGTTTCCTCTCCAACTCTACACTTAGTGTGCCTGCCACTTCAGAGTAAATTCAAAAGGCCTCGTCAATATATAAAACAGTTAAAAGACCTCCTAGTATTGCATCATCCCACTGCTACGTGTAAGGCCTTGCACTGTGCCACATATTTGTCTTTATGCCATGAGACAACATCACTGCATTGCCATGCTGTGTCTCAACGTTTTGAAACAGCAATGAAATCAGCGCTCATTTTGGGAGCAGAAGCCTTTGAATATATCAAAAGTGGCTTGTGAATTTCTGCCCAGCAAATGTTCCCACTTTCACTTCTCCCTTTCTCTCAATTCCCACCCCGTGGGTGGGAAAAAGGAAGGAGTCACTTTTAACCAGTCAAGTGAAGCGCACATAATTGTGCCATCCAAGCAGCCCCTTTTATCCTCATGTAGGGGGAGGGAGAGGAGGATCTTTAAATTTAGTCGCATAACTTTAATATACAAGGGTTGCTGAGGGGCCCACAGGGCCAGAGGGTGGGTCATTCAGGCAGGCATAACTCTTTCATGCCAGCTTCTAAATTCTTGGCATTTCCATGTGGTCATAACAGCTGTTCATCATGTTTATATTGACCAAGGATGGCTTGATATGAGGCAATAGTTGCAATATAAGCAGGAGCTGAGCATGAGAAAGAATTATTTGGGATTTACAACACCCTATCCTAAAGCAAGCTACTGTGTGCGCTGTTGGGCTGATGGGCTGAGTAACCAGTTCCAGACCCTTATAGAAAGGGCATAAAATTCCTAAACCAAGGTAGCAACGGTACCTCTTTTTGAAGCAAGGGTCAAATGCACATGCAGCCTCAGAAAGCACCAAGAGAACCAGCCCAGAAAAAAAACATAGCTAAAATGGGCCATCAAGCTCCTGAGTGCTTCATAGGTCAAGTACAAAACCTTTAACTCCTCCAAAAATGTATTCATAACTATTGAAGTGAAGGACAGCAAGTTTCTTCCTACATACAGTCTCGCTGAATAAGGAGAGAACTGCATTCTGCAGCAACTACAATTTCTGAATGGTTTTAAGATTTAACACATCACATATATCCAACCCTGAGTTTACAAAGATGTGTAACTATGTCAAAAGTCTTGGTCTGCATTGCATTTTAAATGGTTGCTGCAAAAAACAGCAGTCACCATTCTAGCTTTATATTGCATTTACTAAAATGGAGATCTTGCACCACAAGCTTCTCAAAAAATTTTACCCCACAAAAATAAGACTTGAACCAGTCTAAATGGTGTCCTCATGAAAAATAAACATGTTTGAACAGCTTAGATTGGTTTATTACAATTTTGCTGATGATGACAAATCTTCAGCCAGATTGGAAAGAAATTATAATGAGAATACTATCCGACTTTTGTTTTGTTAACTCCTTCAGAAGCTAAAACATGTTAGAAGTGGACATACTGTTATACCTAAATTCACCTTTTTAAAAGTAAAATTAGAAAACACTGACAGTTATAATGAATGACCATTCAGTGAGAGAGAGTTGTCCATCTTCAGAGGAAACATGAACTAAACTGTTAACAGTAAAAGTCTGGGAATCTGGACTCCTCTATTACTGACTTCTGTGTTCACTTGGTGTCTCAGATTCTCCCAGGGAGCACTTGCTTGGGAGCCTGGCGTAATCTCTCAGGCCCAGTTTCTAGACTGGGTGAGCCCCAGCCTCTTTAGATTCCAAGACTCAACTATGGAGTCAAGCTTAGATGCCCAAGTACCTCCTTCCCCAGTGGAATGAGTAAGAAGGCCTCCTCCACACAGAGCCACTAAGCAAGAGATCTTTTAATGCCTAGGAGGCAACTTACTAGGACAGATGCCTCTCTATCCAGCCTTGGTTTTCTTATTACTTGGTCTTAGTTTTCTGGTTCTTGCCTTTGATTCAAGCTCACAGATTCCCAGACCCTAAGTCCTCCTTGTTTGATCCTGGCTTCTTTTTCTTTTTTTTTTCCTGGGTTCTGCTTGTTGGCTTCATCCTGGTTTCTACCCATTGACTCCTTGTTCCAGACTCCAGCCCAGGTGCCTTGTGTTTCCAGACTGCATTGATGGCTCCTTGATCCCTTGTGCTTCCACATTCCAGTCCAGATCTCTGTCCTCTAATGGCCAGCTCCTGGCTTGTGGTTTGGCATGTGTATTTCTCCTGTACAACTGTAGCTGCCTGCTCTGGACCTCCTAGCTGGTAACTTTGGGCTGGATCACTGATTCCTGTTCCTGAACCCCTGTGGCTTGTGTTTCTGCCAAAAGTGTGTTTCTCCCACTTATGTCCACTTCCTTAGGAACCCCAGCCTTCTGACTCATCTGCTCCTGATCACCTGACTAATTGGGACCCTTGGTTTCCTGAGCTTGTCTATCCTTGATCCCTTGGGTTTGTAGGGTCAAGACCTAACTGTTAAGTCCAATTGATACTCCTAATGCTCCAGCTCCTTTGGTCTCCAGCCTCACTGCCCTCCTTGGATGCTACCATCTTCTGCGTGGGCATATTGGGCTGCTGTCCTGGTATCTGCTCTGTACTTGTTTCAAGGTTCTGTGCTTGCTCACTCTGTCCTAGAAGGCTGATCAGCCCTGTCTTCTTTTTGCTCCCCAAAATTGAAACTTTCTCTTGGCATAATGCTCTAAGCCTCTCCTTAGAGTGGCAGTGGTATATTAACTCCTCTGTCATGACTTTGGCCAAGTGTGGCTCTCTGGGTACAATAGCTATTTAAAAGCCCCACTGTGTTACGTTCTGGAATGCCACCTCCTGCTATAAATTCTCCAGGCAAGCATTTACTTGGGACCCCAACCTTGTATAGTCTCTTCCCCTCTAAAGCCAGTCCCAAAATAGCTTCCAGAGTAGGTGAGTCTGGTTCTTTGGACCCTAAGACCTGGCCTTTTGGTCCTTGGTTGGCCCCTGTCAGAGGGCTATCTTCTGATTCAGCTTCTGGAGACAGACTTTATCTCTTTGAGGATACAATGCACGCACAAATTCATAAACAGCAAAACAGCCAGCTCTAAAACAAAACCACATTTATTTGTCCATGACAATACAGCAGACAAAGTTTTTCTGTCTGGAAAACCAAAGAAGTTTCTGTCAGGAAAAGCCACCCCAGCTGCTCTCTATCAAGACAATCAGCCTGTTCTTGTTCCGCCTGTCTATCTATCTATCTCCTCCCCCTTGTCTCTAGGCACCTCACATTCTCCATTGGCAACTGCACAACTGTTGCTCCTTTCATCCCGGGCCAGGACCTGCCTAGATACCGTGTGGGCCAACCACATCAGTTACCTGAAGGTGAAATGCGACCAGGGTAAAGTCTTCAAGGTCATCTCAAAGTGGGACACCAGCCACAACTTCAAGCCCAGCAGGAATTTCTTACGCTTTGCAGACTGGCACTTCATCCATAGGGCCATCCCAGATTGCCACTTGCTCAATAGCACCATCCACTCTGGACACTGAGACAAGAAGTGCTGGAGGTATGGGTACATAAATGAGACTTTGCCCCACATCCTGTGCACCTGCAAGCCCTACAGAGAGCATGGCAACTCCAACACAACGCCGTATAGAGCTGGCTCGTGAAGACCATCTCAGTATCAGTTTGGATGGCAGCCATGACCCACACTGCCCAAAGCCATGACAGCTAGCTACATCCAGACACTGTTGTAACAGGTGAGGATAATAAAAAGATCCTCATGTTCAATGAGAGACCATTTGGGAACCGGTGGCAGGCTTTCTCCAAAGATGTCCAATTTCAGAACATTGACTTATAACCTGAAAGATTTCATAGATTTCATAGATGTTAGGGCTGGAAGGGACCTTAAAGATCATCAAGTTCAGCACCCCTGCCCCAGGGGCAGGAAGTCAGCTAGGGTCAAAGGAAAGAGAAGGGGCACAATGTGACAATGAAGGGACAGATCATTGGGGCACTTGGAACATAGTACCTAAGGAATGAAAGTGTCCTGCAAGCCTTCAGAGCAGGGACAGGCAAAATATGGCGTAGAATTCATCTGGCCTGCCAGGCGATTTCATCCAGACTGTGGACAGACACCCACCAATTAACTGCATCCAGCTCAGCCCATAGCTGCCCCTGCTGTGCTTCAT